TAACATGGAGATCCTGGGCTCCTGCGGCTTCCGGCTCCTGGGCTCCCGGCCCGTCGTGCCCTACTGGCTCCTGCGCTGCCTGGCCCTGGTGAACGTTCTCCTCCGCCGCCTCCTCCAGCCCTTCTGCTCCTACGCCCCCCTCCCCAACCCCTACACCCTGGCCGTGGCCAGCACCACCTTCACGGTGCAGACGGACAAGGCCCAGCGCCACTTCGGCTACCAGCCCCTCTACACCTGGGAGGAGTGCCGCGCCCGCACCGTGGCCTGGATCCAGGAGGTGGACGCCCAGAGAGAGGCAGGGAAGTAGGGCGGGCAGGAGCCAGAGCTGGAGCCGGATCCGAGCGGCGGTCTGGGCAGCCGGGTTTTGGTTCCAGCCCTGCAATAAATCCAGTTCCGGACAGAGGGATCCAGAGCTGGGTGTGGTGGAGCACTGAATCCAGATCCGGGTTTTGGCTCCAGCCCAGGAGGGACAGAGCAAGGGATGTGGGACTCCGGGTCCTCCCTCCTTTGCTTGGATCTTACCTGCACCCTTCCAGGGAATCAGGCTCCGTGGAGTTGGAATCCGGATCTGGGTCTTGCTTCCAAGTTGTGTCCCTCAGTTCAGGGGAATGTGCCAGTCCAGGTCTTGGCTCATTCCAGCACGTGGTGGATTTAGTTAGGTTGGGATCCGTATCCGCGTTTCGCTCCTGGAGTCCAGGTTTTGCTTCCACCCCACGTGCATTCCAGCAGACAATCCCTCTCCACTTGCAAATGGATCCAGATCCGGATTTTGTTACCATCCTTGTGCATTGGACTCTCTGCTACCATCTAATGCTCCCCGTGCACACCTGGGGAGGAACCAGCTCTGTGGTTAAGGAATGGGGACCCAGAGTTCCTCTCCAGCCCTATGTCATCTCAGAGGAGAGTCAGACAGCGGGACCCAGATCCTATTCAAGAAATCTGGGTCCCGGATTTTCCATCCACCCCGGAGCCAGACCCACCCAGAGCCAGCTTGCTCCTATAGGATCCAGCTCCAGGTTCAATCCTCCCCTGTATCGCTCAGTGGATCAGACTCCAGATCCCTGTCATATGTGAATAATCCGGATGCAGGTTTTGCATCCCCTCAAGTGCATTAGTGCAGTGGATCCGGGTCAATAGAAATCCGGATCCAGGTTTTGCACCCACCCAGATGCATTAGTGCAGTGGATCCGGGTCAATAGAAATCCGGATCCAGGTTTTGCACCCACCCAGATGCATTAGTGCAGTGGATCCGGGTCAATAGAAATCCGGATGCAGGTTCGGCATCAGTCGCGCATACCCCAGACACCAACGCAACAGGATTAGCCTGCTCAGAGAATCTGGATCTGGCTTTTGCCTCCACCCAAATGCATTACAGCTAAGGATCCAGAGCCGGATTTTACTTCCAACCCCCAGTGTTACCACAGATGCTCAGTGTCAAGCTCCCACTTGAGGAATCCAGATCCGGGTTTTATGTCTATCCTCCCACCACACGCTGAGATCTGGATTGTCTAGAGCCGGGTCCTCTTCAGATCCGGGTTTTGCAGCCAGCCCAGGTGAACGTCTGACCTGGATCCAGATCCAGGTTTTGATCCCAGCCCGGTGTCTGGCTGACTGTGCAATCCAGCAGGATCCGGACCTGGGTTTTACCCTGCCCTGCACCAGCCTGGAGGGGCTGACTCCAGATCCCAGCCTGCCCGGACAGGTCCAGCTCTGGGCTTTCTTCGTGCATTAATAGCGATTCCAGCATTAATTTCTCCAATCGTGTATTATTAATTATTATTATTATTATTATTTTATTATTATGCTAATTATGATAAAGGGCCTAAAGCCAACTGCATATTGAACACGGATGCACCCAGCAGCGTCTGGTAACGTCTGTGTTAATTAAAGCACTAAAAGGTCCCTTGGAACTGGAGAAAAGGTTATTTCTGGAGGGGGCCGGGGGCCTGTCCCCTCTAGGGGTGCTGGCTTTGATTTGGCCCCGGGACTGGACTAGCGCCGGGCTGTGGTCCTGGCAGGGGAGCAGTGACTGGGCCATGGCCAATCCCGCCCTGGCCCACTGGGCATCTTCCGGAGCCAAGCTCCGACGGTTGCCAACCGCAGCCTTGCACCATGCCAGCCGGCTGCAGGCCCCTGCACTGTGAACCTCCGCCCTCCCCAGAGCCGGATCTCGGTGTTTGTTTGCACGGCTTGGCCTTTGCTCCAAATATGTTCCCGTCTCTGCGCCCTGCTGGGCTACTGCTCCCAAAATAAACAGGCGCCTGCGGCCCTGAACACCGCCTCCGTTCCCCTCCTCCATCTGTCATCCCCCCTCGCTGAGAGAGCAGGGGGCTGGGAGCCAGGGCTCCTGGGGTCTCTCCCTGGCTCTGGGAGGGCAGTGGGAGCTAGTCGTTAGAGCAGGGAGGGGCTGGGAGCCAGGACTCCTGGGGGGTCTCCCTGGCTCTGGGAGGGCAGTGGGAGCTAGTCGTTAGAGCAGGGAGGGGCTGGGAGCCAGGACTCCTGGGGGGTCTCCCTGGCTCTGGGAGGGCAGTGGGAGCTAGTCGTTAGAGCAGGGAGGGGCTGGGAGCCAGGACTCCTGGGGGGTCTCCCTGGCTCTGGGAGGGCAGTGGGAGCTAGTCGTTAGAGCAGGGAGGGGCTGGGAGCCAGGACTCCTGGGGGGTCTCCCTGGCTCTGGGAGGGCAGTGGGAGCTAGTCGTTAGAGCAGGGAGGGGCTGGGAGCCAGGACTCCTGGGGGGTCTCCCTGGCTCTGGGAGGGCAGTGGGAGCTAGTCGTTAGAGCAGGGAGGGGCTGGGAGCCAGGACTCCTGGGGGGTCTCCCTGGCTCTGGGAGGGCAGTGGGGGCTAGTGGTTAGAGCGGCAAGGGGCTGGTGCAAGTAGAAATCATTTCTTGCCAGTACTGCATTCAGGAGTGGGACACAAGGGGGGCATGTGACCCTCCAGGAGCCTCCTCCCAGCCCCACCCCCAGCCCGGGCCCCCCAAGCTCTCCCTGCCCCCCCTCACCTCCCTTACCTGTCTGAAATTTGACCCCTGAATCCTTTCCCTTACAATGATGCTTTGGGCCCGGGAGCCCCGTCCTGCCAGCGCCCGGCACGGAGAGCTCCCCCGCGGCGGGAGGCCAGGAAGGGGGATCACCCCACTTTCCCGTCTCACCCCAGTGCCCCCCCTCCCGGCGCCCTTCCCTCCCTGCCAGGAGGCTGCTGCCCGGCAGGGCTTGCTGGCCAAGCAGCCCGG